ATCAGCGCCATGGTAAGGGATGGGAGGGAGGGGTAGGACGTCAGATATGACGCGAGCGCACCTAGCTTGTCCCCCCCTCCTCCCCCTCCTACCCCACCGTCCCCTCTTCCTCCCCCTCCCTCCGTCCTCCTCTCTCCTCCCTCCCCGCCTGCTCCCCTCCGCCCTCCTCCTCCCTCCTCCCCCTCCTCCCCTCCTCCACATCCTCCCCCTCTCTCCCCCCTCCTCCCCCCCCTCCCCCGCCTCCCCCGCTCCTCCTCCTCCTCCTCCTCCTCCTCCTCCTCCCCTCCTCCTCCTTCGCCCTCCTCCTACATCCCCTCCTCCTCCTCCCTCCTCCCCTCCTCCTCCTCCTTCCCCCCCCTCCTCCTCCCCCTCCGCCCCTCCTCCCCCTTCTCCCTCCTCCTCCCCCTTCTCTCCCCCTCCTCCCTCGTCCCCCTCCCCTCCTCCTCCTCCTCATCCTCCTCCTCCTCCTCCTCTTCTCCTCCTCCTCCTCCTCCTCCTCCTCCTCCTCCTCCTCCTCCTCCTCCTCCTCCTCAAGTACTTGTATAGGAAGACTGTGTTGGTTTCGGGCGTCTGGCGAGTAGGCACTTTGCGGTCAGCGGAACGCGCTCGGTGGGTTCAGCATCGGAAGCTGCGTAGGGAGGGTGCGCCGCCAGAATATGACAATATCCACTGCTGCTGCGTCGTGTCCCAAGGACTCGGGGAGCGGCGGATATGGACATCTGCCCGCCCAGCGGGCGGGCAGATATCCATATCCACCGCGCCTCGGGATCTCGATCTCAGGGCGCGACTCCGAAGCGGTGGATGTGGACATATTTGGGCGGTGGAGAGAGGAGGGGGGGCGATTCGGCGGCGGGCGGGGGGGGGGGGAGTGAGAAGAAGAAGGCCTCCTCGGAATGCGGCGGGGCTTCTCTGAAGCTTTCTGACCTTCTGAGAAGTGCTCTGCGCCCTCGGGGAAGGCTTCGAGAACTTATCACAAGGCCGGGGGACTTCCGAGCCTTCTGAGAAGGCTCGCCCCCCCGGGCGCGCCTCTGGGGCGAGCCTGGCGATCCTCCGAGCGATGAACGGGGGGGGTGAAGAGACGTGCACCTTTCGTGCACCGTCGAGGCCCCCAGATAGGCCCCCCGGGGGACCCAAAAGGTGCACGGAGCGTGCGCGCTTCTTCGCGCCGCCCCCTTCCTGTCCCACCCACTGCGCGACGCCCAGCAGCAGTGGCGACGAGAGCCGCCGCATGTGAGCGGGCGGCGAGGAGGAGGAGGAGGAGGAGGAGGAGGAGGAGGAGGAGAAGGAGGAGGAGGAGGAGGAGGAGGAAGAGAGGGAGGAGGAGGAGGAGGAGGAGGAGGAGGAGAGGAGGAGGAGAGGAGGAGGAGGAGGAGGAGGAGGAGGAGGAGGGGAGGAGGAGGAGGAGAAGGAGGAAGGATGGAGAGGAGAGGAGGAGGAGGAGGAGGGGATGGATGAGGAGGAGGAGGAGGAGGAGGAGGAGGAGGAGGAGGAGGAAGGATGAGGAGGAGGAGGAGGAGCCCCAATCGCCGGCTCTGTGGGACCCCGACCAGGCGAACAGCTCGGAGCCCAAGCCTCGAGAAATGCACGGTGGGCCCTTCCGGGCACAGGGCCCCCTGGCGTGCGCCACTGCTCGCCCTTTTTGAGGGGCAACGTCGGGAAGGTGGACTGGCTCGGGCGGGGGGACACTGAACTGGAATCGGCGATACGTTGCCGATACACTGCGCCTGCCTTGCAGACGTGCCACAGCGGATTTTCGGGTGGATTCCTGTCGATGCCAAACCCCGAAGCGGCGAGCGGAAAACGGAGTGAACTGCACGTGGACTTTTTTGTAGTCTGCATTCCTGATCAAGAAATCCGCGCGAAATTCACATCGAAATCCGGGACGAAATTCTCCAGGACACTTCTGGCCCACCCCATAGTTTTCCGAACGAAATCCGCTCTGCGAGATTGGCGCCATGGCGATAGAACGGTGATAGGCCCCCAGCAGCGGGGCGGGCTATCGGGTCCCTGTCGGCGATGACTGGGTGACAGGGTGACAGGGGGTCGATGCATCCCCTCATGAGCCTATCCCCCCCTTCACGTCGTCCCTGCCTCTCGGACGCGCCACCATGACACCAGGAAGCGGTTGCCACTCAGAGCAGACAGGATCGGGGATCTACTGACCCGGGTCAATCCAGACCCAGGTCAGCCAGGTTTTGCAGGACCATGCAAAATCCTGCAGGATCCTGCACCCAAACACGGACCAATGCGACCCTGGCCCTGCAGGATCCTGAAAGATCCCCCGGTTCTGCCTGACCCCCGCTTGCATGGACCCCCGTCTCTTGAGCCCCGAAGATATCGCGGCTGTGGCTCCCTGGGGCATCTTCAGGAGGCGGCCCCGAGCCACTCGAGGCAAGCATCCAGACCACAAGCTGCTAATCTGGTGGGGAGGGTCGTTTTGAGCTCACGTTCTCGCCATCGCTCAGACGTCCCTTTCCCGTGCACCTTGCGGTCTCGTACATGCATCTTTCGCAACCTGATCCAAGCTCGGGAGCGGCCAAGATGGGGGTGTCCAAGAGGGGGGGGTGCAAATCATGACCGGCGGCATGTGCGCGGCCCAGCGGGGGGGCCAGGGACGTAATGAAATAAGAAGAGGCGCCATGAAATCTGGAGAAATATCATGGCCCACGCCATGATATCCACCCCCCCCTAGTCATCACCCCCCTCTTTTCCGCCCCCGACAAGCTGCTCCTCGATTGTCCTCGCCGGGAAACAATGCACACGTCCGAGCGATGCTGAGCGTTGTCCCGACCCCTGGGCAAGGACAGAGACAAAGACTGCACCGCGCGGGGGCTGCTGCGGGGGGGGGGCTGGAGCGCACCGGAGGCCCGCGCAGGAGCGGCTCCAGACCCCCACCAACTGGGAGGTCTCGAGGGAGCCACGAGCTGCGACAAGGCCCCGAGGGTTGCCCTCAGTGGAAAAAGAAACAACGGCACAAACATACGCTTTTGGCGCTCCGCGTGGAGCGCCACAAATTTATGTTCGTGGCGGTGTTCTTCTTCGACTCAAATGTGCCGCGAGCCGCGACAAGGCCCCGAGGGTGGCCCTGAAGATCCCGAGGGGCCTCCAGGTGCGCCCGAGAGAGGCCCTTGTGGATATAACATCCACAACATCCTGCACGCGTCAAGACGGAAATGGGATGAGGAAGACAGGAAGGGCAGGCAACAGCATGCATGCCAGCTCTGAAGGAGTGGTCCCGCAAAAAGGGCAGGCGGCGAGCAAGGACGGTGCATACGCAATGCAGTCGGGGATCTTCTGACCCGGGTCAATCCAGACCCGGGTCAACAGGAAACCAAAAACTGCAATGCAGAAAAAAAACTGCAACGCAAGTCTTCGCAAACCCGGGTCAGCAAATATGCGCGGCCGCCTCGCGGCCACGAGCGGCTCGCTAACCCGGGTCAGCCAGAGGGGGTCTTCGCAGGATCCTGCAGGATCCGGTGCCCTGGCTGACCCCCGTTTGCACTGACCCCCGTCTCTTAGGCCCCGATGCAGTGTGAAAGGCAGAGTGCCGGCCACTCGCGTCGGTAAGGGGACACTTAGCTCCATGTGCTGCACTTTTGGCAGACGCAAGTGTTCATGCCATTGCGGCTCAACGCTCGACGTGCTGGGAAGGGGGGGAGGCCTAGGGGAAAGGCAGTGTGGAGTGGGACGGCCAAGGCAGGGTGGTCCTGCCATAATTTCACGAAGGCCCTATTCTGGTCCAATGAGGCCTGGGGGCATCTTGGGGCAGGCTCCTGAGACCCTCTTGAAATTCTCTTCGGTGTCTCGAGAGAACATCTTGGCAACCTCGAGAGCATGTTGGGGGGAATGGGGCCGTCTGGTGGAGTTTATAAGGACCGTTGGGCTGATCTTGTCGCTGCCTTGGGGATCTTGGAGCCATCTCCAGGGGGCCTGGCACCCGCTGGGGTCGAGCTTGGTCAATCTTGGTGTACGTCCTGGGTCGTCTCAGAGACCAAGGAGCCCCCCCCCCAACAAAAAGACAGAACCTTGCTTGGCCCCAGAGACCAAGGAGCCCCCCCCCAACAAAAATGCACGGATGTTGGATGCTATCTGGCTCTCCGGCGTCTGCTGGGGCGTCCGCTGTTCGAACTGCGTCCAGCAGCGGCGACGAGAGCCGCTAACCAGGGCCTATGGCGATACTATAGCGCCTCCCCCAGACTCGATGGGTTTTCGATGGGTTCCGCAATTCGGAGCTCAATTCCGGGATACACGATGGGCTGGCCCCGGCACGAGGCCCTCTCCAACTACCGAAACTGCTACTAGGGGAAGGAAGAATGACATAAACGTAAAAACTCGGAGGTCCGCGCGCGCGCGGATTTCTCGGATCGGCGCTGGACCCCTCTCCCTGGCGCTGGAGGCGCCGCCAGGGGGGCCCAGCGCAGATCCGAGAAATCCGCGCAGACCTCCGAGTTTGTATGTTTATGTCATTCTTCGCTCCCCTTGCCTGACCTCTTCCAGGTTGCGCTCTGACCAGAATCTCTAGGCGAACTCCCCCGTGGCGAAAAAGGAGGCCACGCTGGTGCCAGCCGCAAAGGGCCGCGCAGGGCGCCTCCGAGATGGCCGGCCTCAGCACGAGCGGCCTCATCCTCCCTCCTCCTCCCCCTCTCCCTCGATGCTCGATCCGCGATCCTCGAGCACCCTCCCCCTTCTCCACCTCCTCCTCCTCCTCCTCCTCCTCCTCCTCCTTCTCCTCCTCCTCCTCATGTTCTTCCTCCTCCTCCTGCTCTTCCTCCTCGCTCCTCGATGCTCGCTCCTCGCTCTTCGCTCCTCGCTCGTCGAGCCTCCTCCTCCTCCTCCTCCTCCTCCTCGCTCCTCGATGCTCGCCCCTCACGCCTCCTCCTCCTCCTCCTCCTCCTCCTCCTTCTCCATCCCCTCCTCCTCCTCCTCCTCCTCCTCCTCCGCGACCCTCGAGCTTCGATCCTCTGGACCTCCGCCGCTGCCCCGCCCCGCTGCCCTCCGGCCTCGGGCGCGTCGCCCTCCGGGGCGTGCTGCGCCCGGCCCGACGGGGCCTCCGCGGAGGGGCCCGAGGCCTCGGAGGTCGCGGCCTTGACCTCGCGGGAGGAGGAGGAGGAGGAGGAGGAGGAGGAGGAGGAGGAACGAGGAGGAGGAGGAGGAGGAGGAGGAGGAGGAGGAGGAGGAGAGAGGAGGAGGGAGGAGGAGGAGGAGGAGAAGGAGAGGAGGACGAGGAGGAGGAGGAGGAAGAGGAGGAGGAGGGTTTTGGAAAAAAACAATCCACAAATGTTCCAAAGTGCTGACAAATAATAGAATAATCTTCCCCATACTATTTTTCATTGTTATTTTGAATATTCCTCCTGTAGAGGGACACGCCCGACTTACAATCCCAGCCCCGTTCAAGAGGGGGGCGAGCGCGCGCGACGACGACAGCAGCCGCAAATCTTGTGTGGCGCTGGGGCGGGCACGCGAAGGCGCGCGCCTCTTCCCGGTCCCGTCCTCCTCCTCCTCCTCCTCCTCCTCCTCCTCCTCCTCCTCCTCCTGCTCCTCCTCGTGCTCGACCTCCCCCTCCTCGATCCCCGCTCCTCGAATCTCGAGCCTCTTCCTCCTCATTCTCCTCCTCTTCCTCGATGCTCGCTCCTCTTCCTCCTCCTCCTCCTCTTCCTCCTCCTCCTTCTCCTCCTCCTCCTCCTCCTTGCTACTCCTCCTCCTCCTCCTCCTCCTCCTCCACCTCCTTCTCCTCCTTCTCCTCCTCCTCCTCCTCGATGCTCGCCCCTCGAGCCTATTCCGCCTCTCCTCCTCCTCCTCTCCTCCTCCTCCTCCTTCCCCTCCTCCTCCTCCTCCTTCTCCTCCTCCTCCTTCTCCTCCTCCTCCTCCTCCTTGCTCCTCCTCCTCCTCCTCCCCCTCCTCTTCCTCCTTCCCCCTCCTCCTTCTCCCTCCTTCTCCTCCTCGTTCCTCCTCCTCCTCCTCCTCCTCCTCCTCCTCTCCTCCTTACCCTCCTCCCTCCTTCCTCTCCTCCTCTCCTCCTCCTCCTCCTCCTCCTCGTCCTCCTCCTCCTCCTCCTCCTTCTCCTCCTCCGCCTCCGCCTCCTCCTCCCTCTCGTCCTTCTCTCCTTCCTTCCTTCCTTCCTCCCTCCATCCCTCCTCCTCCTCCTCCTCCCTCCTCCTCCTCCTCCTCCTCCTCTCCTCCTCCTCCTCCGCCTCCTCCTCCGTCCGGAATCGTGGGTGGAGGCACGTGTCCCCGGAGCCCCCGTCCTTCTCCCTCCTGGAGGAGGGGGAATGGCCACCCTCTCACCAGCAGCACCCCGCCGGCCGACGCCCTCTTCAGCCAACCGCACCCCAGGAAAAGAGAGAAGGCTTGGACAGGACAGAGCCGTGCGGCAGTAACGCGCAGGACGGTTTCGTAAAACGATGGGGTCGGGGTGTGTACCCCCCCCTACTGGCCATCGCTCGGACGTCCATTCCGTGTTTTTTGTCGGTTTCGTGCGTGGTTTTTTCGCAGGATGATCCAGAATGCTCCTCAATAATCCCCGCCGAGAAAAAGTGCACACGTCCGAGCGATACCAAGCCTTCGTTCTCCTCATCCCCTTCTCTCGGGGGCGGCCAAGAGGGCGGCGTCCAAGGGGGTGGGGGGCGCAGATCATGGCCCGCGGCATGTGCGCGGCCAAAGGGGGGGCCAGGGACGTAATGAAATAAGAAGAGGCGCCATGCAATCTGGGGAACTATCACGTCCCACGCCATGATACCCACCCACCCCATACCCCTTTTCGCCGCCCCCGATTCTCCTCCGAAGGACGCCCGTCGAGACTCTGTCCCTCCGCGGGGACGTGGCCAGGCCGCTTAGTCGTCGCCTGTCCGAACTCTGTCCCTGCTCGGGGACATGGCAGGACCGCATCGTGCAGGTCCGGGAGAGCTCCACACGATCCACCACCCTCCTCCTCCTGCTCTCGGCGGTGGACAAACCTCCCTTTATTAAACCCCCCCTAAGGGAAAACGGCCAGGACCGATACCGACGGACCTGGACTCGCAAAAATGACGGCCGCGACGCCCTCTCGCGAACCGAAAACGGCCAATTCGCTAATCGACGCGTCAGGGTAGGAGGTCTATGAACCTCCGATCCTCCTCCTCCGAAGAGGAACGACTGCCGGAACTCTGTCCCTGCCGGGGGACGCGGCCAGACCGATAGTGCAGGTCTAGGAGGGCTCCACACAATACACCACCAGCAGCCCTGGCCAGGCCTATCTTGGGCCCTGGACTGGTGTGCAGGGCTTCCTGGCCTGGGCCAGCAGGTCTGTGCGCCGATCCAGGGCCCAGGGAGTGCATGGCCGGAGCTGGTGGTGGTGCAATTGGCGCCCCTCCGAAGGTCAGGCTTGCGCACAGCTCTGCGAAGAAGACGCGCAACAAGCTGCCGACGGACCCCCCCGCGCATGTGCTGCCACATGTCAGACTGGCCGAGGAGGCCGGCAAAGGGAGAAACACGAGACAACAGCGGCAATAGATGACCGACGATAGCCAGTGACACAGAGGCGTTGTTCAAAAAGAAGTTGGCCACAAGACCAATCCGTGACTACACGTATGCTACTGCGCGCGGAACGAGCCTGGATGCTGGGGTCATATAGCTTCCATCGTACTTAAGAGCACATCCAAGAACAAATTTCGAGCACCCGGGAAAATATCGAAGCAATGTCGAACGAGTCTCGCCTCGCAAGGCCCGACACGTGAAAAACCTCCTGTTTCGGTACTTCCTGGCTTCTCGAAATTCTTTCTGGGGCTCAACATCACAAGGATAGGGACTGGGGCCAACGTGTGCTCACTGGTCATGCGCAGTGGCGTGCCATCGAACGACCCCGCTGCCTCCTGTCTGCATCTGCTATGCGCCTGGCTTTCGAAATTTCAGGAGCGGAGCTACGCATGCCGATCATGGAGCGAGAATCCAAGGAACACCTCTGTCAAAAAAATCGCAACTTGAAGAAAGAAGCAACAAACACAGCATGACCATAAACTCTTGGTGCTCCGAGCGGATTTCTTGGATCCGCGCTGGAACCCCCTCCCTGGCGCGCGGAGCGCGCCAGGGGCGGCGCCAGAGGCGCCGCCAGGGGGCCCAACGCGGACCCAAGAAAACCGCGCGGAGCGCCAAAAGCTTAAGTGTATGCCTTTTTCCTCTTCGTTGAAAGGAAAGCGCACGGAGAGAAAGAGCAGCGGGCAATCTTGGCCTGCATCATCAGAAGCTTCTGAATCTCCTGACGGGCCGACAGAACCGAAAGGCCTCGAGTCTCTGCTCGACCATGCGGCACCACGACAATTCGACCCCCCCCCAAGTGGACTTGCAGAGCGTGACCCGCTTTTGTAGATTACAGCCGGCGGGCCGCGACGTCAAACCTCCTTCAACTCACCTTCTCTCAGTCCTTCGCGTCGCCAACCCCCGCCTCCTCCACCTCCTCCTCCTCCTCCTCCTCCTCTTCGATGCACTGCCTCCACCACATCCTCCCCTGACAGCATCATTGTCCTTCGCTTCCTCCTCCTCCTCCTCCTTCTCCTCCACCGTCCTTCGCGTCTTTCACATCCTTAGGGGAACGAAGAGTGGCATAAATATAACAACTCGGCGGTCCGCGCGGATTTCTCGGATCCGCGCGCAAAGGGGCGGCGCCGGAGGCGCCCAGCGCTGACCCGAGAAGTCCGCGCGGACCTCCCGATGATTGTGTTCATGTCACTGCTCGTTCCCCGCATCCTTCTCCTCCACCTCCTTCTCCTCCACCTCTCACAGCCCTTCGCGTCCGCCGCCTCCTTCTCCCCCGCCTCGCCCCTCAAAGCTCTGCCGGCGCAGCGGCATGCCAGAGCAGACGCGTGCCGCCGGCGCGCCGCGAAACCCGCACCACGCAGGCGCGTGCGCGCCAGACGCTGGCGGGGCGCAAGACCCACAGAGAACGTCACCGAACCACCGCACTCTCTGCCGCTGTGGGCTGCCACCACGCTGCTCACACTCCAGACGGCGGGCTCCGCCGGAAACCTTGAGAGGGGGAGGGAGGGGGAGGGAGGAGGAGGGAGGAGGAGGGAGGAGGAGGGAGGAGGAGGGAGGAGGGAGGAGGAGGGAGGAGGAGGGAGGAGGAGGGAGGAGGAGGAGGGAGGAGGAGGGAGGAGGAGGAGGGAGGAGGGAGGAGGGAGGAGGGAGGACCCAAAAAGCTTGTCATCACCTGGGAGGCTGACTCCTGCTTCCGCCGGCGGAGCCGCCGCCGTTTCACTTCCGCCGCCCTCCGCCGACCTCCTGCCGCCTTCCGCCGAGGGGGAGATGACGAGCCTGCCTAACCTCGCAGGCGAGGCCCTTGTGGAACACTCCGCGCGCCTCTCCTGTGCCGCCCGCCCCGCTCTGGGGCATCCGCTCCAGGAGGTGGCGCTGTGCCCGACGGTAGGGAGCCCACAAAGGACGTACTTACCAGCCTCGAACGTATCCCTATCCCTGAGATCGACACGCCAAAAGGCGATGACAATCTTAGGGATTCGCCCTCAGAAAAGAAGGGAATCCCTAAGATTGGCATCGTGATGAGGAGGTGAACAGCATAAGGATAGGGATATGTTCCAGGCTGGTAATATGTACATGAACACGGCCCCTCGATCCGCGAGACTGGCCGCCTCATACGAACATCTGCGCAATGCGTCCTCTCGAAACCGGCGTGGATTCGTGCACGTGTACGTCCTCCTCTCGCTCCTGAGTGACGGGGCTGCTGCTGGACGGCGCGGGGACTGAAGAACCCGGGGCGGTGCGCGCGCTGCAGAGGAGGATAGGCGAGCCCAGAATCGAGTCGATAAGTCGGGTCGGCGATCGAAATGAAGCGGATCGGCAGAAATCGGCAGCCGAGTCGGGAACGGTAGAATCGGCGGAAATCGGGAGGCTAGTATGCCTCCAGTAAATAATCGGAATCCAAAACGGAACCCGAAGGCGAATCGGGTCGGAATCGGAAGCCATCGAAACCGAATCGAACCGAATCGGAGGAATCGACACGAGCCCATGGGGAGAAACAACACCTGTTACAAGGCCGCGCGTGGCTCTCGCGGTAGGGGGAGGTACAGCCGGACCTACTGGCCATCGCTCGGACGTCCATTTCCTGTGTTTTTTTCCGGGTCGTGCGTGGCTTTTTCGCCAGATGATCGAGGATGCTCCTCGATGGCCCTCGTCAAGAAAAAAATGCACACGTCCGAGCGATGCCAAGCCTAGGACAGAAGGAACCTCCTTCAAGGACACGAGACCCTCCGCCGGCCACAGGGAAGAGCATACGAGGGTACACTCCCCCAGGATGCACAAGAACATTCATGAAGGGCCCCTGAGACACACAAATACATACACACAAATGAAAAGATGTCCTATCATTTCTGATATTTTCTGGGTTTCTGTCTTCCCCCCCACTTCCCATATTTTCGCATATTTTCTAGGAAATCGACGATTAATTGTGTCTGTGTGTTTCTTCCCCTCCTGAATTCAACACACACGAAGAACATGAGGGCACCCTCCCCGAATCGGCCTCAATCTTATCGGTCCGACAGCAAGCATTAGGGGGCACTTGGTCCGCCCTGCTCACCAGCGGCCAGCGCGAGTCCCCTGCCTGGAGCCCGGGTCCGTCCCGCGAGCTCAAGCCCAACCCTGCCCAAGTTCGGAGCTATCAAGAACGCTGTGCCAGTCTGTCCATGCGGCACCTCGTGTGCCAGTCCGCCTCGTTCTGCGGCACGTCTCATCGGCCCTCTGGGCGAAGGTGGTTTAGGGAGGTTGTTCTTGCAAGCTGCTTATTCCTCTTCGGGGAGGGGAGTGTGATTTGACTGACAATTCCTATCAAAATAAACTCTCCATCCCCAACGACGCGGTGACACGACTCTTGAGTTAATCGTTATGGAGCTCGGCGGGACGGCGTAAACGTCTTGAATAAACAGCCTCTCAATTCGACACGCCGCCAACCAGGAACCACGAGCCCAACCCCCACCATAACTGTCAACAAAAACCATGCGAATTGCACAGAGCGGTAAACCTGGATCGTGAGGAGGACCACCGCGATCACTGTGCGCTGCTTCCTGGCAAGGACGGCGGGCGCGTCATCACACTTTGTGCGCCGTGCCCTGGCCCCATTCCCCTGGCACTAACTGGTGGAAACTCATGAGGGGTGCACACACCATACACCGTGCCGACCAACCCGCCACAACTTTGCAAGCACGTTTGTAGAGGCCTCCTAGATGGGGGTCCGAGTAGATGGGGTCGGAGAATCGCGCCGCATCGACGATGCATCGGCGATGCATCGGCGACGTCGACGATGCATCGGCGACGCCGGCGCGGAGGAAGCCGGGCTCCACGTTGAGCCGCATCGCCGATGCAGTGGCGATGCGGCGCGGTCCCCCGACCCTGTCTGCTCGGACCCCATCTAGGAGACCTGGAGTGCCGACCAACCCGCCACAGCTTTGCAAGCACGCGCTTGGCACGGACGGTCGGAGGGCCGACATCTTGGCCGATGCGTGCGAGGGTCGCACTCGAGGACCACACCCCAGAAAGAATCTCGAGCAACCAGAAACGTATCGAAGCTGTGTCGAACGAGTCTCGCCTCCCAGGGCCCGACACGTGACAGACCTCCCCCGTTTCGGTACTCCCTTGGTGCCCGAACTTCTTCCTGGTGCCCAAGGCTAAAGTAGGGTAGACCATCACAAGGCCCATGTCGCTCACGCATTCACACCCCCTGCCTCTCCTGGCTGGCGCCGTTGCAGGAAGAGGCCGAGCCAGAATAGGGGGGGGACGCTTGGCGCGGGTCTCCAGATCATGGCGTCGACTCCAATCGGCGCCGCGTGGTGTGAGAAGGCTGACGGGCACAGTGATTGTTTTTTTTTCCCCCCCCCGAGGGGCGTGACCAAGGTTAATTACCAGTTGATCTGGGTGAAACAGCTCCTGAAGCCGCCTCTTCCCTCTCCCGAACTCTTTCCAGGAGAGCCTGCATCCGAGGGGTCTGGGGGAGGCTGTCTAGACTCGCCCTCATCTGCCCCACTTCCTGAGGAGGGCACAGTGCTTTTGGGTGATGGCCTTCCACGAGGTCTCGCGCACAGCGGCCTCGCCAAGCGAGGCCCCGCGCCCGTGGGGACCTGGCCCTGGGCGGCCCCAGAGGCTCCTGGCCGCAAGGCCCCACGCTCGCCGTGCGCTCTGGCCGCAGCGCCCTGCCACAAAAATCCGTCAGCATACAGCCAACCCGCAAAACAAGGAGGAGGAGGAGGAAAAGAAGGAGGAGGAGGGGGAGGAGGAGGAGGAGGAGGAAGAGGAGGAAGAGGAGGAAGGAGGCGCGGCACGGACGCAAGGGCCTTGGAGGGCCACATTATCAACGTTCTTAGGGCGAGGCTGGCCAGCCAAAGTCGCCAAGGCTTAGCCGACGGGGCCGGGACGCAAGGGGCACCCTCCCTTGGGAAGGTTGCCCGTCCTTCCTGGTGCGGGTGGACTGCCAACCCGCCCGCGAGGCCCAGGCCACGGGGCCACGCCGAGACTGCCCCCGCGTCCATGGGGGCAAGCTGGAGGTTCGCGCGCGGCGCCCTCGCCTCGCCGAGGGCGCCCTGCGACGCGAGGCAGACCCGCCGCCGGCCTGTCGCTCCCGCGCTCCGCGGGCCCCGACTCGGGGGGCGCTGCCTGACCCAGGGGGACGAAAAAGGGCATACACATAAGAACTCGGAGGTCCGCGCGGATTCTTCGGATCGGCGCTGGGGCCCCCTGGCGGCGCCTCCGGCTTCGCCCCTGGCTTCGCTCCACGCGCCAGGGAGGGGGGTCCAGCGCGGATCCAAGAAATCCGCGCGGACCTCCGAGATATTATGCTTATGTCCTTTCTCACTCCCGATCCTTACCAGGCCGATCCTGCGTCCGGGGCTGGTGCCTACGCCTCACACGGCCAGGCCAGGAGGGCGAGCACACGCAGGCCCTGGGCCCAAGAGATGGGCCTGGCCGCGATCCCGGCGAGGTGGTCCGTGCGGCTGCGCTGTAAGAGTGACCCGAGGCAAGCGTGGCCTCTGCTGCGCGGCTCTTGGGGGGCGCGAAGGGGGCCAGACTCGAGCGCGCCAGCCGCCGCCCAAGGGGCCCGCACCAGAGGCCACTCCGGCGAAGAACCCACGGTGTTTCGGGGTATGTTCGTCAACAGTTCGCATGCTACGAGCAAGTCCCTCTACTGCCTTCCGCATCTGACGACGCCACAGCCGAGCAGCTGACGTCGCCCGACCCGGGACCCCCTCGGGCCCCGCGACCGCTGCCGGCGCCGCCCCCCTGCCCCAGCTTCTCCCCGGGCCGCCGAGGTGCTGCCAGAGGCCGCCCCCGCCTTCCCCCCCCCCCCCGACCGCGGAGCACGGAGCGGAGCACACACCTCCACGCTCGGAGGGGCCTCCCGCCGCCTCGCCGCTCTCCTGCAGGGAGCCGAGCTCTCTCTGCGCCTGCGCTTTTCGTCCGGCCCTGCGCCCTGGCATCTGGACCGGCCAGCGGATCCTGGTGCACTCGTGACCCTGGTGTGTGCATGTGCCGTCGCTTCTCCAGGAGAGCGGGGAAAAAAGGGTGCACCGCACCACCCCGACGTCGTCCCCGACCGACCGGAAAACAACAAGTCCTGGGCTTGGACAAAAACAGCCCGCCGCTGGCAACGTGTATGCTACCGCTTCCGAGGAGGGCCTCCCACCTCTGAAGGGGCCCAAGGACACACAAATAAATACACACAAATAAAATAATTCCCCATATTCTCGCATATGTTCTGGGTTTTTGTCTTCCCCCCCACTTCCCATAGTTTCCCATATTTTCCTGGGGGATCGACGATTGATTGTGTCGGTGTGATTTTTGTCCCTCCTGAACCTCGCTCTCCTCTCCTCTGGGCGGGAGATCGGCACGCCACCCAGCAGCGGCCGCGGCGGCCCGCAAAGAGAGGGGAGGGGGAGCGGCGGCTCGCCGGCGGAGCGCTCTCGAGGAGCTCCCGCATGGCCCCGCCGTCGGGCAGCTTCTCCAGCATGGCGTCGAGCTGCTCGGCCTCGGGCCGGTTCACGGGTCCCGCCGGCCAGGGCGAGAGGGAGAGGTTGCCTTTCGATGGCAAGTGGTCCTGCTCCTCCTGCTCCTCCTGATCATCCTCCCCTTCCTCCTCCTCCTCCTCCTCCTCCTCCTCCTCCTCCTCCTCCTCCTCTCCTCCTCATCTCCTCCTCCTCCTCCTCCTCCTCCTCCTCCCTCTCCTCTCCTCCTCCCTCTCCTACCTCCTCTCCTCCTCCCCCTCTCCTCCTCCTCCTCCTCCTCCTCTTCCTCCTCCTCCTCCTCCTCCTCCTCCTTCTCCTCCTCCTCGATAGCGGGGTGTGGAGCTGGGCTGCGGGGTGAGTGGAGCCTCGGCGTCCGCGGATGCCCGCGCACATCAGTCAAAGGGAAATGCTGCACATATTCCGACCGACTTCCCTGGAACTCTGAGTCGCACCGCTGCTTGCCGTCATCTCGTCGGTGGGCATGTTGGCCACAACCTGCAGTGTCGACGAGGACATCTCTCCCAAATTCCTCCGACGGAAGTGCTCCACTGTGGCAGCTCCCACTGCGTATCGCTACCATTGACCTCACTGAAGCTTTCGACGAGATCGATCATCACATGCTTTTGCATGCCTTGTCGGAGCAAGAAGTTCACGCAGAGTACGTGCGGCTTTTGTCTGACATGTACAACTCCCAATGGGGGAGCGTCAACGGCAACACAGCGTTTGAGTTTGACATTCGCCAAGGAGGCGTCAAAGGGACGTTTTGTCAGCGTTGCTCTGAGACGCCGGTTTAAAGCATGAACTTTGGAGCTTCACAGCACGAGCTCAGCAGTGTGGCTTCGACGTTGAAGGCATTGATGTGCTTAGCAACATGCGGTACGCGGATGACTCTTTACGTTGTGCTCATTCCGCCGCAGGGGTCACTAGCATGCTGGACATTATTTCGGAAGAAGTGTCAGCGTGCGGCCTGTCACTAGATGCGGACAAAACGCAGATTGTACTAACGATGTCGCTGTCTCTAACGTCGGCGAGCCCTGTAGCACGTGTGGGACCTGTGTGACCTGCAATGCCTGCCGGACCTATGTAGCCTGTGGAAGAAGTGGGACCTGTGAGGAACTTACGTTAGGTCGGGCATGTTCCCCTACAGGCATATTTTGCACATTACATGAGAAAACCTGAAACATACTCAAACACAGACAACAAGTACTCGAAAGATCGTCCCCATACATTTGTTTGACCATTTTGGAATATTCCTCCTGTAGTAGGACATGCCCGACTTAAGTGTAGCCTGTGGAACAAGTGGGACCTTTGGGACTTCTCAGGCCTGCGGAAATTGTGCGACCTGTAGTGCCTAGGGGATCGGTGGCCCTTGTGGAACTATGGGAATCGTGGAACCTGTTGATCTCCTGCTTGAGACTTCCTCATGATTCAGGCTGCCATGTGTGACACACCTTTGTTTTTACAGGTATCCGATGGCCGCATCGGATTGGTAACATTATGTGCGGGCCCCACGGGGAGGAGGTTGTTCCCGCTCGAGACTTCCTGAGTACTCAGGATGCGAAGTGTGAGAACCCTTAGAAATGTTCCCAGATCCAAAGTGGGATTATTGTTTTCTCCGCACACCCCTTGCGCAGGCTATCTCCTGACCCCCTTCCCTTCCCCCTGATCACCATCACCATCATCGTCGCCACTGTCATCAACATGGTGATGCCATCATCAACAGCATGTTCACACCATCGACATCATCATTTTCGCATCATCATCATCACCACCATCGTCATCATCATCGTCATCACCATGACCACCATTATCATCACACCACACTCACATACACACCTACCAGAAGAAAAACAAAAAAACTCGAGATGTTAATTCGTCTGTGACTGAATTGCGGAGACGTCTCCGGAGGGATCCCACCTAGTGGGCCCGCAAATCATGTTAAGCATGGGAGGGGGCCATCGGATTCTTGAAGCTGCTATCACTTTAGGGCTCATCGCGCGTGAACACGGGCGCATTCTCGAGCGGGGGCCTCGCTTGTGAGTGAAATGCGAAACTCTCAAGCGGAAGCCCCCTCCCAATGGGGCCACTACTTCATGTGTTGCTAACCGGACCAGGTCATGGTATTATTGTAACCACCGTTTCACTAGAGGTCCTCACTACTGAATGCGTCGGAAATATCGAACGGGTCCTCGTTTGTAACATTGCGAGGACATATCAAGCGCCTCCCCTCCCCCCACATGGGGCCCGCGGCTCGTGTTACAAAACACGAACGGGTCATCGAATTCTTCGAACCGTCGTCAACCTTGAAATCATCACGCCGCGGTCTGGGAGAATTCGCGACCGGGAACATCGTCTGTGAGTCTGTGAATGGACCCCGACTACATCTCGGGCAGGGGCCCCGCCCCTATGGGCCCGCAGCTTGCGGGACCCTTCTGAACAAATCATCGGGACCATGTGAATGTCGTAATTTCTGTCCTGCCCCGTGAAGCTTGACTATGGAGACAATATTCGGCGAAAGCCTGGTCTTTGAGTGAACGGCGAAGAAATCGCAAGCGGGAGCCCTTGTCCTACGGGGCCTGCAGCTCATGTTACCAAGCCGACCGGGTCATCGGAACCGTGTGGTAGTTTCGGAAGTTGAAACCATTCATTGAAGTTTGAAAACATCGACGTTTGAACCATGGCGGAACTCTCGGACGGAAGCCTCGTCTGTAAATGGAGGGCGAAAACGCTTATGCGGAACATGTTGACCCCGCGGCCGCCCACACGAAGGCTTTCGAGGAGATCGACGAGAGAACGGGGAGCTCCAGGGCTGAAGCGGAGCAGCTCGCGGCAAAGCTGGGCTTCGCGCCGTCTCCCGCCTGAGCGCGCCCTCGGCTGGCTCGAGACATGCGGGGCTGTCCCAACAACTGGCTGCCGCGCCCCAGCTGCTCGCGTGGTTGCCCCAACGGCCTGGCCAACGGGGTTGCCCCAATGGCTTTGCGATCTGGCCATCGGAGAACGCGCCCGGGCCGTGGCGGGAAAAACGCGAAGGAACATCGACTTCCTTGCTAAAAGGGGGCGGGAGAGGAGGTGGATGGGGGAGAAGACGCAAAGGACGAGGCAAAAAGGCGGGAAGAAGGGATCCGCAAAGGCGAACCGGAGAAGAGGGATGAGACGGGAAAAAGCCTCTGCTATCACACGGACGACGCTGAGGTTTCCTTCCAGATTAGGTGTGGAGATTCTCATGTGGGTTCCTACCGTCTGAATAATTACAGGTATCCCGATGGCGGCTCTGGATTGGTAGCGTGAAGAGCGGAACCCATAGGGAGGGAACTCCCGCTCGAAACTTCCTCGATATTCAGGTTGCAAGCTTTGATAGGCCATGCTTTGAAAGGTATCCCCCGATGGCAGCATCGGATTGGTAATATGAAGTGCGGGCCCCATATGGAGGGGGATCCCGCTCGAGATTGTGTCGGGATTCAGGCCTGCAAGTGACATGCACCTCTTGCTTTAACAGGTATCACGACGGCAGACTTGAATTGGTGGTAACATGAACTGTGGGTCCCACATGGAACGGGATCTCGCTGGAGACTTCCTCGCAATTCAGGTTGCCACGTGTAAAAAAAAACAGCTGCTGTTTACACGTATCACGATGGCAGCCTCGGATTGATAGCATGAGGTGCGGGCCCCACAGGGAGAAAACTCTCGATCGAGACTTCCTCGCACTGCACTCACAGACGAGACTCTCTCGCTCGAAACTTGCTCAAGGCAAATGTGTGAGCGAGTGTGCGAATGCGTGCGTGTGCGACGAGGCTGCTTATAATAGTAAGAAAATTGACCATTATGGCGAGGTGAGGATCATGATGATGATATTCATGATGACTTATAACCATGATCATGATGATGAGGAAGATCGATGCTGCTGACGTGAAACAAAAATGAGGCTAGGACTTCGCGGGGTGTCCAGAAAAAACAAGAGCCCCACTTCTGATGTGGTGAGACAACATGCTGGCAGGGCACTCCAGGTAAATATAATGCATGGAGGCCAGCTGCGAACGGTCAGGCTGAATCGGTTGCCCCCAAAGGCGAATCCATATTGCTAATACACGTCCTTATACATACATATAGGAATAATAAAACCCCATGCCTTCGACGATGATCCCATGGGGATATTGAAGTTCGGGTTCCGGAGGGGGATCTAGTTTGTTCCGGCAGCTCAGGTGTGCGGGTGCACTGTGTACGGATGTACGGTGCATGGAGTGCAGTACTGGTACTAATATATTAATATGTGTAGTAGTCGCAGTAGTAGTAGTAGAAGTAGTAGAAGTAGTAGTAGTAGTTGTAGTAGTAGTAGTAGTAGTAGTAGAAATTAGTAGTAGTAGTAATCGTGGTAGTAGTAGTCGTTGTAGTAGTAGTAATAGTAGTAATAGTAGTAGTAGTAGTAGTAGTAGTAGTAAAAGTAGTAGTAGTAGTCGTCGTAGTAGTAGTAGTCGTCGTCGTCGTCGTCGTCGTCGTCGTCGTCGTCGTCGTCGTCGTCGTCGTCGTCGTCGTCGTCGTCGTCGTCGTCGTCGTCGTCGTCGTCGTCGTCGTCGTCGTCGTCGTCGTCGTCGTAGTAGTAGTAGTAGTGGTGTGGTGGTGGTGGTGGTAGTGTATAGTAGTAGTAGTAGTAATAGTAGTAGTAGTAGTAGTAGTAGTAGTAGTAGTAGTAGTAGTGAGAGTAGTAGTAATATAAGTAGTAGTCGTAGTAGTAGTAGTAGTAGTAGTAGTAATAGTAGTAGTGGCAGTAGTAGTAGTAGTAGTAGTAGTAGTAGTGGTAGTGGTAGTAGTAGTAGTAGTAGTAGCAGTAGTAGAAGTAGCAAATTGGTGGAAGTAGCACTAAAAGTAGTGGTAGTAGTAGTAGCAGAAATAGTAGCAGTAGCAAAAGTAATCGTGGTGGTAGTAGTAGTAGTAGTAGTAGTAGTTGTAGTAGTAGTAGTAGTAGTAGTAATAGTAGTAGTAGTAGTAGTAGTAGTAGTCTTCGTAGCACTAGTCGTACTCGAAGTAGTAGTAGTAGTAGTAGTAGCAGTAGTAGTAGTAGTAGTCGTAGTAGCAGTAGTGGTACTCGTAGTAGTGGTAGTAATTGCCGTGGTAATAGTAGTAGTAGTAGAAGTAGTAGTAGTAGTAGTAGTAGTAGTAGCACAAGTAGTAGCAGTAGTGGCAGTAGTAGCGTTGTAGTGGTGGTAGTGGTAGTAGAAATGATAGTAGCAGTAATCGTAGTAGTGGAAGTCGTCGTCGTCGTCGTAGTAGTAATAGTAGTAATAGTAGTAGTAGTGGTAGTAGTAGTAATAGTAGTAGTAGTAGTAGTAGTAGTAGTGGTAGTAGTAGTCGTACGTAGTAGTAGTAGTAGTAGTAGTAGTAATAGTAGTAGTAGTAGTAGTAATAGCAGTCGTAGTAGTAGTAGTAGTAGTAGTAGTAGTAGTAGTAGTAAGTATAGCTGTAGTCGTCGTCATCGTAATCGTAGTAATCGTTGCCGTGGTAGCAGTAGTAGTAGGAGGAATAGTAATAGTAGTCATCGTCGTAGTAGTAGTATTAGCGGAGGTGGTTGTTGCAGTAGCGGTGGCAGGTGTAGTGGTACTGGTAGTAGCGACAACACTACTAATAATAATGGTAGCAGTCGCAATAGAAGCATCAGGAGAAGCCGTAATAGTAGTAGTAGTAGCAGCAGTAGCAACAATAGGAGTACAAGCAGACTGCCGGGAGGGAGGGGGGACGAGGGAAATAGGACCTCGAACAAAAACAGACATGCGTCGGACCTTCTTCACACACCTGTAAAACACAATTGTTTCAAGAAGGTGTTAAAGTCCTCATGTGGGGGAGCTCATCTAGTAGACGCACTAAGAGTTTGAGTAGCAGTCGCAGTAGTAGAAGTAATACTAGTAGTAGCAGTCGTAGTCGTAGTCGTAGTCGTGGATGTAGTCGTAGTAGTAGTAGTAGTAGTAGCAGCAGTAGTAGTAGTAGTAGTAGTAGTAAAACTAGTAGTAACAGTACAAGTAGTACTACAAGTAGTAGTACAAGTAGTAGTAGTAGCACCAGTAGTGGTAGCAGTGTAGTTCGTGGTCGTCGTAGCAGTAGTGGTAGTAGTAGGAGTATTAGTAGAAGAAGTCGTAGTAGTGGTAGTAGTAAGAGTATTAGTAGAAGAGGTAGTAGTAGCAGTAGTAGTAGTAGTAGTGGTAGTAGTAGTCGTAGGAGTAGTAGTAGTAGTAGTAGTAGTAGTAGTAGTAGTAGTAGTAGTAGTAGTAGTGGTAGTAGTAGTAGTAGAAGTAGCAGGAGTAGTAGGAGTAGTAGTAGCAGTAGTAGTAGTAGTAGTAGTAGTAGTCGTAGTCGTAGTCGTAGTAGTAGTAGTAGTAGTAGTGGTAGTGGTAGTGGTAGTGGTAGTAGTAGTAGTCGTAGTAGTAGTAGTAGTAGTAGTAGTAGTAGTACTACTACTACTACTAGTACTAGTAGTGGAAAATAGTTCTAGTAGTAGTCGTAGTAGTAGTAGTAGTAGTAGTAGTAGTAGTAGTAGTAGTAGTAGTAGCAAAAGGAGGAGTAGTAGCATTGGTGATAACAATGGAAATGCGAGTAAGATCCCTTCATTCGCACTTTCGATTCGCACGTTCCCCAGCTCGCCGCCCATCCCCCCGACCAACTCTGTCCTGGCCCGGGTAATCACACTCAGGGGGCGATGCTTCATCATCGCGGTCGCTCGTGAAAAACGTTAGCTGATCTAACCTGCGCGAAGGCCGTCAACCAGCTGCCCCCGCCCTTGCGACGGGCGCCACGGCACACGCCACATGTCAGGAAGGCCTGGGGCTGCGCACGTGGGGAGGTAGTCGTGGACGACCTCACCGGCCGCCTTTTGGATAGCTCCTGGCAGCCTCAGCGCCCAGACCAGGGGGCGCGGAGCGCCGTTTGGGGAACCATTGGCGTCGGCGCGTGCTGGGAGAGACCGCCCCGTACTGCCCAGGGGGGACTGGTGCGGCCAGCACAGCCTGCCTCCTGGGGGCTGCCTGTGCGCAGCCTTCCGGTCGGGCATGTCCCCCTACAGGCGGGTACTGGACGAGCAAAAAATCAAAAGATAAAAGAAGAGTCGTCCCCAGACTATTTGGGACTATTTTTGGATACTCCTCCTGTAGAGGGACATGCCCGATGTAAGCGCAGCCCCCACCCCCTGAGCCTGCCTCCTGGGGGCTGCTGCCCGCTCCTCCATCAGGGCACGACTGGGGAAACCACCAAATACCCATACCACTAATCTCCGGACCTCTCCCGGGGCGCGTTCTTCCGGGGACCCTATACTGCCTGTGTATCAACTCGCAGACATCCGACGCCTTGTTTTTTCCAATCAGCACAGGGCCCCCAGAAGTCCTGACCCTTTCCCCTGGGCTGGCCTTGCATTGCGAGTCGTGCTTCGACGCAGGGCCCGGCGAGGGCCCCCGGAGGCCACAAACAGCCCCCCACCCGTGGTTGGGGAAGCCGAGGGGCACCACTGCCGCTGCTCCCCAGACCTCTCCCGGGGGTGCGCTCCGGCCAAAAAACTTCGCGGCGAATCCGGCGGGCGGCGGCGAGGCCTGCCAGGAGGGCGCAACGGGGGGAGAGCGGGCCGGGGGTGGCGGTGATGCTGAGGCCCAGCAACACGACCGGCGTGCTGACCCCACCCCCTTCGCGACGAGGGGTGCGTCGGGCGCTCGCCGCCCGTGCGCCGCCCGTGCGTCGGCCGCCGTGCGTGCCCATCTCACCGCCGCGGTGAGATGGGCGCGCGCCCGCTCCTCCCCCGAGGGGCGATGGCCGCGTGGCCGGGCCGGGCCGCGCGGCCGGGCGCGGCCTCCCGCCGAGTGCTCTCCCCGGCGCGTCCCGCGCAGCGCCGCGCGGGCGCGCGGACGCGGGCGAGGAGGAGGAGGAGGAGGAGGAGGAGGAGGAGGAGGAGGAGGAGGAGCCCCTGCGCTGAGGGCGCCGAGGGCCCCGTGGCATGGTGCCCCGAGCGAAGAGCACCCACGGGTGGAGCACGGAGGCGAAGAGCACAAGCTGGCCATCGCTCGGACGTCCATTCCCTGTGCTTTTTGTCGGTGTCGTGCGTGGTTTTCTTCGCCAAATGATCAAGGATGCTCCTCGATGGTCCTCGCCGAAGGAAAAATGCACACGTTTGAGCGGTGCCAAGCAAGGACACCCCTCGAAAAAGAGAGGCTCTGTGCTACTCTCAGGCATCGCGCCAGCTGCAGCTTCCCCGGCGCCGTCGAGCACAAACGCAGTGGGAGCACACATGCTTCTGCCAGGGCCGGAGACGACGCATCGGGTGCATCGGGCGATCTAGAGGGCTGCGAGTCTGGCGCAAGCTGACCATAGCTTGTCCAAACCATCTGGCCTACCCCACCCGTCAGTCCCGTCAGTCCCCCCCCCACCCACCCCCACACGACCCCCCCCCACTGGTGCTATTCCTGCGCCATCGCCAGGGCTCCTCACCCTCCTCCCGCTCGTCCGATTCCTCCTGGTCCTGCTCCCATCCCTTCCCCGTCTGCAAGAGGAAACTTTCTGAGGTGCGCGCGGATTTCTTGGATCGGCGATGGATCCCCACAGCCAGCGCGCGGAGCGCACCAGGGGCGGAAACGGAGGCGCCGCCAGGGGGGCCCAGCGCTGACCCAAGAGATCCGCGAGGACCTCCAAAGCGTTCTGCTCGTGCCGTTGTCCTTCTTCGAACATCTTTTATTAGAGCCGTCGTCGCCCCCACTGGAGGCCGCCTAGATGGGGTCCGAGTAGATTGGGTGGGAGGATCACACCGCATCGGCGACGCATCGGCGAAGCATCGACGATGCATCGGCAAGGTCGGCGGTGTATCAGAGACGCCAGCGCGGAGAAAGCTGGGTGCCACATCGGACTGCATCGGCGATCACTGCTCCCCCTGCTCCTGCTCCGTCGCCAACGCCGCCGACGCCGCCGACGACAACGCTGCCGACGCCGACGACGACGACGACTCCGACCCTGTCCGTGTCCCCTCCAAACGGGCGCGGCCTCGAGCTCACCCTCGGCCTCATCGGCCCCCTCCGAGTCAAAGTCCTCGCAAGGGTGTGCAGAGAGAAGGGGGCAGGATGAGGAGGGCAAGGATCGTCTACACGCAGGAGTGACCCTGTGCAAGAGTGGCATTTGGTGCGCGGCTTTTTGGAGGCCGCGGGGGGACCAAACACAAGCGCGCCAGACGCTACTATCGCATCGCGTTCGGCGATCGCGTGTGCCCCAATGGGCCCGCACCAAAGGTCACTCCGGCGGGGTCACTCTTACGTGTAGTCGGAAGGAGGAGGGGGATGAAGAGGATGCGGAGGGTCAGGGAGGAGGAAGAGGAGGAGGAAGGAGGAGGGAGGAGGAGGAGGGAGGAGGAGGGGGAAGGAGGATGAGGAAGAAAGAGGGAGGAGGAGGAGGAGGAGGAGGAGGAGGAGGAGGAGGAGGAGGAGGGGGAGGAGGAGGAGGACGGGGAGGAAGAGGAAGAAAGAGGGAGGAGGAGAAGGAGGAGGAGGAAGAGGAGGAGGAGGAGGAGGAGGAGGAGGAGGAAGAGGAGGGAGGAGGAGGAGGAGGAGGAAGAGGAGGAAGGACGGAGGAGGAGGAGGAGGACGGGGAGGAAGAGGAAGGAAGGAATGAAGAAGGGAGGAGGGAGGAGGAGTGAGGCTCGGGGCGGCGCGCGTGGGCGCCGCACGGGCGGCGGCTCACACACCGCGGAGCAGAGGGGCCCCCGCGCACCGGAACCCCTGCTTCGGGGAAGGCTTATAGGTCGGGCGTGTCCTCCGACGGGCGGATGCAGGACGAAGATGTGACACGTGTGTAAGGAATAATCGACAAGTAACTAATAATCCGGCGGTGCACAAACCTCCGTTTAGTCAACCTCCCCTCAGTCAAAACGGCCTGGGACCGAAACCGACGGACCTGGGCCCGCAAGAAGGACGGCCGCGACGCCCTCTCGCGAACCGAAGACGGCCGATTCCTCAATCGACGTGTCAGGGTAGGAGGTCTGTCCAACCCCGAGTGTCCTCCGACCTCCTACAGGCGGATGTAGGACGAAAATGTGGCACTTGTCGAAGGAATAATCCACCAATAATGGAAAATACTAAACGAATCGTCCGCAGACTTGTTTTTTGACTATTTTGGAACAGTCCCCCCGCAGAGTGACATGCCCGACGTAAGGGAAGGCTCCGCAAACCTCTCAAAGGCTGGGGGACGTCCGAGTCTTCTGAGAAGGCCTTCTCCTTTTCTCACTTCCCCCCAGGCTCGCCGCCGAGGAAAGGCTCCCATGTGAACGTTTTCTTATTCGGCGCTTCGACATTGGGCGCAAAGGGGGGGAAGGGGGGGGGTCTGCCTGAGGACCTCTGCTTAGTTGCGACTGCTTGCAACAGTGCGTCCCATGGGGGAGGCTCCGCCTGCTCGAAACACGCGCCCAGAACAGCCAAGATCTACTCCATGGGGGGGGGAGGGGGGGGGTGCGAGGGCCCGCGCCGATCGGCGGAACAATGAATAAGACAACGATCACACTCCTCGACATCGACGTCACGACGACGTGATTTTTTCAATACGGGGTCCCCAGACGTCTCGACCCATTCCCCGGGACCGGTTTTTCACCCTGAGGCGTTCTGTTGACGGTCCCGGGGCCTGGCGAGGGCCCCGAAAGGCGGAAAATTTTAAAAAACGTGGACAGACCCCCCTTTAGTAAAACGTGGTTTCGTGAAAACGGCCTGAGGCCCAAACCTGGCGGGCGCAGACCGGGAAAGCAACGGCCACGGCGCCGTCTCGAGAACCGAAAACGGACAATTCACTAATCGACGTGTCACTGTTGGGGGTTCTGTCCACCCCCCAACAGTCCTGTCTGCTGGGAGGCAACTGCTGGGAGGTCTTCGTCGAAGGACTGCCATCAAAGTCTGTGGGAAGGACGCGCTGCCAGGACGCAAGACCCGTGCGCGGTCCTTGGGCGCCCCAGTTGACGCTTCTTTCTAGTGGCGCTCGAAAATTAGGAAAAAACGTCCGTCTTGATTTTTGTCGATGCGTTGGATCTCTGGGTGTGGCGCTCCCGCTGCGGCGCTTCTCCATCTATGCGAGCACGGGCGGTGCGGCCCGGGGAGGGGCACGCCGCGCACGGCGACCCGGGGGGGGGGGGGGGGGGGGCCTCGCGGGGCGCGCGCGCGCGCCCGCGAGGCCGAGGAAGGGGGCCCCCAAGTGTAGGTCGGGCATGTTCCCCTACAGGCAAGCTTGGGGGGAAAAGTGAGATAGCCAACATCTACTCACACATAGTCAAGAAGCATGATCGGACCATCGCCCCCTGACTATTTCTGTGACTAGCTTCCAATATTCCTCCTGTCGAGGAGCATGCCCGACTGAAACCCTACGTGCGACGCCGTCGTCACTCTCGTTGTGGATGCCACGACCATGGACACCCTAACAGTCCTATCATTGAACTTGAAAAGTGTTCAACGTGTAGGAACATGTTATAAGCATGTTTCAAGCATGCTTTTTCTATGTTTAAAGCATGTTTAACACATGTTTTAGACATGTGGGAATGATTTGGCAACATGCTTCCTCGCCATGGATCGTCCTGCCACAGCACTCTCGGCACTTCGGCACGGGCGCCTGACATCGCGCTTCGCGCTGCGTCGGAGCCAAGGCCGCGAAGCGCGAAGCGCTCCGCGCCCTCTCGAGGGCGCCCCGTGCCGCGCTTTCCGCGCTCGACGGAAGGGCTCCGATCCTCGACAGAGTCGTCGCTGCCAGTGTTTAAGTCGGGCCTGTCCCTCTACAGGGGGAATATTCAGAAATAATCAGAAATTGTCGGGGGACATTGTTTGAGTCCTTTTGGTGCTTTTTACTTCAAAAAATATGTATTTTTTATCGTCGCAAATGCCCCTGTATGGGGACACGCCCGATTTAATGCCAGTGGGGCTCCTCTCCTCTGGCCTCCTGGAGGCTCCTGGTGCTTCCCTGTCCTCCAGAGGTCCCCCGTTGCGGCCTGTGGCCTCGCAGTGGCTCCAAGAGGGTCCTGGGGCTCCCTGTAGGTTCTCCTGCGCCTCCTGGACCTCAGTGGCGCCTCAGAGGCCCCTTTACAAGCCCCCAAGACGCCCCCACTAAGAGCCCCCAGGAGGCCCCGTCACCGGCCCCCAGAGGTCCTCAGGAGGCCTCCCCTTCCTCCACCTCGTCACACTCCTCCTTCTCCCCCCTTTCCTCCTCCCATCCTTCTCCTCCTCCCCTCCTCTTCTCCCCCTCTTCTCCTCCTCCTCTCCTCCTCCCCTCCTCCTCCTCCTCCTCCTCCTCCTCCTCCTCCTCCTCCTCCTCCTCCTCCTCCTCCTCCCCTCCTCCTTCTCCCCCTCTTCTCCTCCTCCTCCTCCTCCTCCTCTCCTCCTCCCCTCATCCTCCTCCTTCTCCTCCCCTCCTCCTCCCCCTCTTCCTCCGCCTCATCAGATCCTCTCCTGCTCCTCCTCCTACCCTCTGGCCCAGCCGAGTTCGCCAAAGCGTTTCCAGAACTGCCGGAGGCAAAACGCAGACCAACAACTTGGCCGAACTGTGGTCCGACGTGTTGCCCCACCGGCGATGCAAGAAAGGCATGGGGGGTGGCGGGGCCTCCTCGCAGACGTCTTCGCAACTCTCCCTCTCCCGGCTCAGGCTCTCTCCCCCGCTGCCCAAATCTTCAGCTCATATCATGTACAGTAGGAGCTCGACCACAAGAAACCTTCCACAACAAAAAACCCAACTCTGAGACCCCAGGACGCCCACTGATTTGTGGTGTGGGAACGTCACGCTGCCCGTCGCAAAGCCATCGAAACCCAAGAACCCCGAGGCACCCTGGAGGCAAGCAGAGTGTTTCTTGGCACTGGTACCCTTCACCCGCCCGACCCTTCACCTCCTCCTCCTCCTCCTCCTCCTCCTCCTCCTCCTCCTCCCCTCACTCTCTCCTTCCTCCTCCTCCTCCTCCTCCTCCTCCTCCTCCTCCTCCTCCTCCTCCTCTCCCTCCTGGTACCACTGTCATCACCCCCATCCCCTGCCCGACCCTCCGCCCGCCGTGGCGACGCGCAGAGGGGGGCAGGGGGAGGGGGGAGGCCTCTTGGAGGCAGACTGCTCCTCAGAAGGCACCGGCCTCACATCTGCAGGGACGGCCCGCGCCTGCAGAAAAAGCATAGTCCTCCTCCTCCTCCTCCTCCTCCTCCTCCTCCTCCTCCTCCCCTCTCTCCTATCCTCCTCCTCTCCTCCTCCTCCTCTCCCCTCCTCCTCCCATCCCTCCTCCTCCTCCTCCTCCTCCTCCTCCTCCTCCTCCTCCTCCTCCTCTCCTCCTCTCCTCTCCTCCTCCTCCTCCTTCCTCCTCCTCCTCCTCCTCCTCTCTCCCCTCCTCCCTCCCTCCTCCTCATCCTCCTCCTCTCCTCCTCCTCCTCCTCCTCCTCCTCCTCCTCCTCCTCCTCCTCCTCCTCCCTCCCCCCACCGCCGAGGCCCGCCGCCGCGGGGCCAAGAGGGCCCGAGGCGCAGAGGCGGCGGGCGCCGTGGGACGGCAACCTCTCCTCTAGTCCGGCTTCTTCGAGGCCGGGCCCCGCCCCCTTGCTGCCACACCCCTCCCACGGGACTGGAGGGGCAGACGGCGGCTTGAGGACGATACCTCGCGGCACTCCGCCACGCCTGCGCCCCCCCCCCACCCCCCCGCGCGTGGCAGGCATCCCCTGCCAGACCCTTCACCCCGCCACTGCCGCCGCTCGGCGGGATCCTCGTCTGGAACCGGCGTCCGCACGGCCGCCTCCAGCTCCGCCTGGCACCGGCGCCGCTCCCCTGCTCCCCAGCGCAGGCCCGGCCCTCCGCGCCCCGCGCCGACGATCCAGACCAACCCAAACATCTGGCGTCTCGAAAAAATCGAGACGGAGGATCTTCATAGTTTTCGGCCTCTGGACCGTCCAAAAAACGGCCCGGGATGAGAAACTGGTCCCGGGGAAGTGGTCGAGAGGTCGGGGGCCCGCGCGCCTGGAAAAAACCGAGACGCCGGATGTCTGGGAACGATGGGGAAACCAAAAAGTACCACGGAACCGCTACTCCCCAGACCGGGGCCCTCCGACCAGGCGATCGAGGCGGATCCAGCGGTGGCAGCGAGGGCCTCCCAGGAGGCCAAAGCAGAGAAGGAACGAGGGAAGGGTTGAGACATGGGTTCAGCAGAGACCAGCCGTCCCGGATTCCTATATTCTACGCATCTGAAAAGAATTTTCTCTGAACAGAAGATCGTGGAGCCTGAGCTCGGTGTACCATGAACAAGACAATCCCAGCCAGCACTGTTCTAAGACCCTTTCGCGCAAACTTCAAAAGGCTCTTACACCACTCTTTGGTGGGCCTATAGGCAAGCAGGGACGCTTCGCCACTGCTCAAAAGGGTGCCTGTCCCTCCTCTCAGGCGAGCCGCGCCCGCGAGCCTCCCGCGGAGCCCCCGGCGACGCGCCCCCGCCGCGCTGCACTCGGCGATCCGGCGCCCGAGACCTGCGCTGAGCGACGTGCATCCGCGAGACCTGCGCCTGCGACCCGCGGCCGTGGAAAAGACTTTAGGGGAACGAAAAATGACAGAAGCATAGAACTCGGAAGTTCGCGCGGATTTCTCGGATCCGCGCTGGACCCCTGGCGGCGCCTCTGGCGCCGCCCCTGCCTGGCGCGCTCCGCGCGCCAGGGAGGGGGGTCCAGCGCGGATCCGAGAAATCCGGGCGGACCTGCGAGTTGTTATGTTTATGTCAGTCTTCGTTCCCCTTGATTCTGACAGAAGAAACACGGCACAAACATAAGCTTTTGGCGCTCCGCGCGAGGGGCGGCGCCAGAGGCGCCGCCGGGGGGGCTCCAGCGCGGATCCAAGGAATCCGCACGCAGCGCCAAAAGTTTCTGTTTATGGCGTTTGTTCTTCTTCGATTGGAGCACGTCAGGGGCCAAACTTGGGCGCCGTTCTGCGGCAGTCAACCCGCACAAGAAGGCTGCGTGGTGAAGATGCAAAAAGGGCCTTGCAAGGCCATGCCGACATTCTGCGAGCGGGGCGCGGCCAGCGGAGGCGGCCAAGGACGAGCCGCAGGGGAAGGGGAAGGGTGCCGAGGGTAGCCTTGGGAATCCGCTCATCATGACGTGCGCGTCCCCCGCGGCGACGAGGACGACGAGGGCGACGACGACGAGCACGAATAGGAGGACGACGAGGAGTTCGACGAGGAGGAAGACGAGGGCGACGAGGGCGACGGGGACGAGGAGGACGCCGAGGCCGACGAAACCGCCGATGACCTCGAAGACGACGAGGACGTCGAGGACGACGAAGACGACGCGGATGCAAGACCGAGAACGTCGAGGACGAGCGGGTTGACTGTATCCGCGAATCGCAGGCCGTGCCGCACCCTGCGGGACGGCACGGCGCCCGCGGCGGGCGGTGCCTCCGCTATTGCCGCGGCCCGCAGCGCACGCACGTACGCGGACGTGCTGCACGACATTCGCGCGCGAGGTCGACTACAGTCGACCCGTATCATACGGACGCACGATAAGAATGCAAGGGGCCTTGGAAGGCCATGTCGACACTTCGTGGGCAGAGCGCGGCCAGCAAAAGCAGCCAAGGATGGGCCGAGGAGGCAAAGATGCAAGGCTACCCTTGGGAAGGTTGCCAATTCTTGCCATGCGGGTTGACTGTGTTGCGCATGTTTGGGCGCGGATTCGTCCCGTTCTGTTGGGGTCGCCGTTCGCCCCGCCAATCGCAAAGCAGTCCGGCGCCTCCTCACTCTTATCCGCACCTGCTGGGGCGTATGCGTACACTCGAGACTGCACGTCACGCAGGACTTGCTGAGATAATTAAGCATCCTAGCATCAGCGTTGTAGGTCACATTCTCGCCGAGAGCCGGCCAACACCCACGGCCACAAAGCATCCGAGACGCCGGTCTACGGTGCATCAGGCGCACACAAGATATGATTGAAAATGCCAGCGACGCGCAGAAGCTCATCTAATTCCAACTTACTCCACGGCTGCGGCCATAGATGAGACATAACAACACCAGGAAGAGGAGAAGGAGGACGAGCAGACGGGGCAGAAAACTGAGGAGGGGCTGGTTATTGTGGGGTACGCGGCCTGCAGGAGAGAGCGAGAGAGGGGGGTGAGCGAGAGGGAGAGAGAGAGAGAACAAACAAACAAAAACAAAAACAAAAACAAAAACAAAAACAACAACAACAACAACAACAACAACAACAACAACAACAACAACAACAGCAACAACAACAACAACAGCAACAACAAACAAACAAACAAACAAACAAACAAACAAACAAACAACAAAAGAGCGATGGAGAGAGAAAGAGAGAGAGAGAGAGAAACAGAAAGAGAGAGAGAGAGAGCGATAGAGAGAGAGGGGGGGAGGTGAGCGAAAGAGGAGGGAGACGGACGGAAAGGGAGAGGAACGGCTGGAAAGGGAACGACCCTGAAAAAATGCCCCCCAAGCAGCACGTGGTGGCGCCTGGGGGGGGCCCGAGGGGCTAGAATGTTGTAGGTTGCCCTTACAGGCCCAGTCCAGGGGGGGGCGGTGGTGGTGGTGGAAAACATGAAATGGAAAAATGTTGGGGAGGTGGGGGGAACAAGTTCCCCCACAACGCCCGACTCTCTCTCACACACACATACACACACACGCACCCATACATACACACACACTCGCACACACGCACACACGCACACACAGGTTTTTTGCGGTGGCGGCTGGGCAGAGGGTGACTGCTCCGGCGATCGGGCATCAGGGGGCGCAGTGGATGTGAGCAGGGACCGACCGTCCTGGCATTCCAATAGTCATACCACGAAATGTTCTTGGAACCCCAAAATGTTCTAAGAACAAGAGCAATGTTCTTAGAACATAAACCCGATGTGTTAAAACAAAACAGCCCCAGCCAGAAATGTTCTAAGAACAGTTCGTGGGAACCGCAAAAGGTTCTCAGAGCACTGTTCGGTGGGGCTATAGGCGAGCCGGGACGCTTCGCCACTGCTTGATGGATGCAAATTTTGGCCGCGATGCACGAGGCAGGAGGAGGAGGAGGCCCCGGCGCGACGGGAAGAGAGGAAGCCGGGCCCGCTCAGCAAGACACTGGCTGCGGCAGGGGGGGGCGCCGTGGGGGCGGGGAACCAGCTGCGGCGCCGGGCAGCAACTGGGGGGGGGGCAGCCCAGCGGCGGGGGGGAGCAGCACATGCGAAGCGGTGACCACACCAATGGGGGGAGCACACCGCGGGGGGGGGCGGAGCGCAGGCCGCCGCGAGAGAGCGCCGCACTAATTATGGCAGCCACCGCAGGCTGGCGTGGAAGGCGTGGGGCGGAGGGCGAAGATGCGGGGCCACGCCATGCGGGGGAGCGGCGCGGAGCTGGGAGTGCCAGCAGGTGGGCGGGCGACTGGAAACGACAGGGCCGTTTTTTTACTGGTTCCGTTTTGCCGTTTTTTTGCTGGTTCCGACGCCATTTTTTTACCGGTTCCGTCGCCGTTTTTTGACCGGTTCCGCCTCTGGTTCCAATCCTGGAGCCGTTTTTTTGCCGCTTCGGGTCGCCGTTTTTTTGCCGCTTCCATTTTCAAGGGACATCTTTGGGGAAACGGTGAAGAAACGGCCCTGCCGTTTCTGGGGACCACAAAATGCCAGCAGGCGAGCGGACCCATGGGTGGGCCGGAACGCCGAGACTCGGGGGCCTACGAGGCGCGGCGGGAGTCGAGAGGGCGGAGCGCCAGCAGGCCAAGTGCGCCGCAGTGGGCGCGGCAAGCAACGGCCGGCGTGCAGGCGGTGAACGAAGGCGAAGAGAAAGAGCCACGCCAATGAGGGGGGGAGGCGTGGGGCTGGGAGCGCCACCGGGAAGGGTCGGGCGCCGAGAACATAGGGCCTGCAAGGCGCGGGGGCAGGAGGGCGGTTCAAGCCGGTGAATGGTCAAGAGGCTGGCGTGAAAACCAAGCAGGGAGAACGGGGACCCTAGCCAGGGGCAGCCGGTGTCGCCCGGCCGGCACAAGGCGCGGCAAAGCAGCAGAGGGTGCCACAGGCAGGGCCTGGGCAAAACCTGCAGAAGGCTGGCAAACCCCCAGACAGAGCGGAGGGCTGCAGCGGCAGCCCAGGGGTGGTATCGGGGCGTACCATACTTAATCACTTGGAGACGTCTACCCAATTGATGAATCGGGCTTGCGCGTGCAATTTGATCGGACATGTAGAACGGTAGGGCTACATGGTCAAGAATCGGTGTACCCCCCGTCGGGCCATCAAACGTTGGACAGAATGTGCGGGTCGTCGTCGGAGAAAACAAACCGAACTCGTACAGGATCTCTCTGAAGCATTCCCCCACCCCACCTCGATGATGTTCTTTCCCTCGGGTCTTCCCAAGACTCGGAGCAACGACCTCGACCAGGTCACCAGAGACGTTCTAAATGCCCAAACCGTCGCTGATGCCCCCCATTCAAAACAGGGTGGGCCCGATCTAGCAGGCCGCCCTTCCAAGCACTCACGCAGCCTTACCTTGAATGTTCCACAGCACGCAAGATACTGTTTTACCTGACGGGATCTGGTGGGCCTAGGTGGGAAATATAGGACAATCGCCGTGTAGAAGAATCCTCCCCGAGACAGCTCCACCGCTAAACAACGGCCTTGAAGATGTCCAGGGGGCACAACTATGCTTCAAATGCTGTAATGGGTCCAAGACCTGGGCAGCAGCAGATAAAAACCTGCGGATCGAGTCACAAACCCTCCTGCTCTCCAGCCAGCATGAACTGCGAGCCGCCCCTCCAGTCGCTGTACCCGGTACCCTTCACGATCGTGCTCTCGGAGCTGCGTGCCTGGGAGGCCCACCAGATCGAAAGCACCCAACTCTCAGACAAGGTTACACAACCGATCACCACAAGCATGACGAGGTTGTACACCATGGACGAGGAAATCCGAGATCTCATGGCGCTGGCCGAGGGTTCCTGATGGGGGGAAGTAACACGCCGTAAAAGGTGGCTGCATGGCCTATTGTGCTGCACTACCCTGCAAGCTGAGGCGGCAGCTGGAGGAGGAGGAGGAGGAGGAGGAGGAGAAGCACGTGGAGGAGGAGGCCGACCAAACGACGTGGCGTGGACGCCGAGACCCTCTGAGGGGGCCCCCTCCCGACCGACGTGGCGTGGACACGTCGTTTGACGGCCAGGGAAGAGGAGAAGGAGGAGGAGGAGGAGGAGGAGGAGGAGGAGGAGGAGGGGACGAGTAGGAGGAGGAGGAGGAGGAGGAGGAGGAGATGGAGGGGACGAGGAGGAGGAGGAGAAGGAGCAGGAGGGGGAGGAGGAGGAACACGCGGAGGAAGAAACCGACCAAATAACGCGGCGGGGTCGTCGAGACCCTCCGATGGGGGCCCCCTCCCGCCGGGGGGCGGCGGCGCGGCGTGCCTCGCAGCGGAGCACGCTGCGCCTCACGCGCTCGACGTCGATGGACTTCGGGAGGCGGGCCTGCGGCAGACGGCGCAGGCGTGTGGCTGGACCTTCTCCCCCCCTTGGGCGGCAGCTGCATTGGGATGCCTTCGTCGAAAGGACTACCCATTGGTCGGAAGAAGTATGTAGAAACATGAAGTAGGAAGGCGGTGAACATTGATTCGGCTTCCGCGCGCCCCCCTGAGGAGGACGGAAACGGTGAAGCCACTCGATCATTGACGTAGGAAGGCGCGTAAAGTGGATTGAAATGTGGAAATCTCCAAGTACATATTTTCAACGACCGAAGGGTACGTTGGGAGGCCTTCGTCGAGAAGGATCGCAATCAACCCGCACCATGAGCATGCACGGTAAGGATGCAAGGGCCTTGGAGGGCAAGGTGGACGCTTTGCGAACGAGGTTGGCCACTGAAAGTCGCTACGCATGGGCCGATGATACTATCCGCCGGCCAAAACGCACAGAACATCCAAGGGTACTATCCCCAGGATGCACAAGAGCACCGAACAAACACGAAGAACACCAGGGTATCCTCCCCAAAAAGACCTCGATCTTATACTTCGGTCCGACTGTATGGCTACAGGCCTCCTAAATGGGGTCAGAGTAGATGGGGTCGGAGGATCGCGCCGCATGGCCGATACGTCGGCGATGCATCGGCGACGTCGACGTGAAGCAAATGGGGCTCCACATCGAACCGCATCGTCGACGCATCGGCGATGTGGCGCGATCCACCGACCCCATCTACTCCGACCCTGACAATTCCGCGCCCTTACTTTTACACACACACACATATATACACATATATATATATATATACATACATACACACGTGGCACCCGGCAGGTGCAGATAAGAGTGAGGAGGCGGTGGGGACGTCGGCAGTTTGCGAGACTCTGGAGAAGCCCGCCGCAAGCGCCAAAGTTTCACAAATTATGCGACGAGCCCGCCGCAAGCGCCCATTTTTTTCGTTAAACCAATGTGGGTAGGTCGCGGGAAGGTCGCGGGTGGGTCGCGGGGTGGGTCGCGGGGTGGGTCGCGGGTGGGTCGCGGGTGGGTCGCGGGGTGGGTCGCGGATGGGTCGCGGGGTGGGTCTCAGGTGAGTCGCGGGTGGGTCGCGGGGTGGGTCGCGTGGTGGGTCGCGGGGTGGGTCGCGGGGTGGGTCGCGGGGTGGGTCGCGGGGTGGGTCGCGGGGTGGGTCGCGGGGTGGGTCGCGGGTGGGTCGCGGGTAGGACGACGACGACAAACAACAACATCAACAAAAATAACTACAACAATGATAACAACAACAATGCCAAGCACAACAGCAGCAACGCAACAAGCATAATCCTTACCACGGACCCCCACTTCAGCCACGCACCCAGTGACAACGAATGGTCGTTCGGCCCCCTCTCTCTGATATACACCTACTGGTTTGCGTATATACAGAAGCGGTGAATATTATATATATGTATGTATATACACAAACATACGCGTCAACGCATATACTATACTGACGCATCTATCACGAGAGGCCGGGGCGGCGCTCCCCCGCCCCCCCCCCTGGGGCGGCAAGGCTCGCCTGCGCCTTCTCCCAGTAGCCCGGGGGCGGTCGCATCACCTGCTGCGCGCGGCGCCAACGCGGGGGGGGGGAGGACGCGCCGCGCGGGGGGATACGCCCTCGGCGGCCGTCGGGGCGCGGGGAGGGGAGGAGGGGGAGGAGGAGGAACAAAAGGAGGAGTGTTCCCCCACCGATGACGTCAAGAGAGGAGACGGTGCCCTCTCTCTTGTCACTGCTCGACCACAGTTTCAAGGCTGCTGTCGCCCAGGCGGCTTCTCACGCCGCCGACAGTGCAAAATAGGATAAGGTATATGGGAGAAAGGAGAAGGGTTGGGATGGAATGTCTGTGGGCTCGGGAGTGCTGGGAACTCAGTGAGTGAAATGGGTCTTGAGCCAAAGCGGTGGCGGGAACGGCATATACCCAGGATATTTCACTCTCCAAGTCCAGGTGGGCTAGACGGAGATATGAGGCAACGGCCCTCATTTCCACAGGAGGAGGAGGAGGAGAAGAATGAGGAGGGGGAGGGGGAGGAGGAGGGGGAGAGGGAGGAGGAGAAGGAGAAGGAGGAGAAGTAGAAGGAGGAGGAGGGCAGGGAGGGCGTGTGCCAACCACCGGGGGGGGTCCATGCCCGCTGGGTGGATGAACGGCCCCGTGCAAGGTGATGGCACCGCTGGCCACCGTGCCGTCGCTGGGACGTCCATTCCCCGTGCAATGTTCGATATCGTGGATGTTTTTGTGGTGGCTCGATGATCCATGGGACGCGCAGAACCATGCTAGCACTATATGTCCTCCTTGGAGGCGCGCGTCCGACACGAACATATAATAATATACCCATACTGTACTACATCGTTTCCCGAGCGGTGTGGCCAGAATGCGCCCGCCACGACGCATATACTATTTCTCGATGCACGCGTCGCCCCTGAGGGGGCGACGCACATATAATAGAAGTATGTTGGGGTGGCGCCGGATCCAGGACGCTGCTCCTCGATGGTCCTCGCCGAGACAAAACGCACACGCCCGAGCGATGCCAAGCGCCCACGGGCTGCGAGAACTGGGCACCTCTCATCCGCCTCCACTCCAGCAGCCGGGAGGAAGGAGTCCATGGAGACGAGAGGGGGAGGACGAGGGAAAGAGGGAGAGGGAAACTCGCGGGCTTTAGGGTCTTGCTAGATTCTCCAATTTCTGCCCTGTTCTTTGTAGATGATCACCGCGCGCGTGCCTGGGTCCAGGACGAAACATACCCCGGGCAAATCCCGGGCAAGCCCTGCGCAGTCCAGTTCACGCATGCCAGAACTCCTGTGCGCGCGGTTCACGCCCCAAGAGAGCCTGGAGAGAGCTCCACGAGTCCAGGAGGATCCGAGACGGTCCAAGAGCGTCCCAGGACGCCCAAGATAGCCTCTAGACGGCCCCAGAGCCCTCCCTCCAGACGACCTCCATGAGCCCTGAGAAACAAAACTAACTTGGCCCATAGGTGTTGGACAGATTCCAGCGTACTCGCTTTTCCCGACTTCGAGTGCCTCGGGAATGTCCGAGAGGCCTGCCAGACCGATCCGAGACAGCCCAAGGCGGCCCAAGAGGGCCGCAGGACGGCCCAAGAGGGCCCAAAGAAGGGGCCCAAAGGTGCAAAACGAACATGCGTTTCCAGCCCCCTGCCCCAAAACGACCCTCAGGACCGCCAGCAAGCCCCCAGGAGATCCCTCTGGAGGCCCACCGTGCGCCCCCAAGAGATGCGCCCGAAATAAGCTCCCAAGAGGCCAACGTCGCCCCAGGGTGCTCCCAAGCAGCTCCCCCAGAGGCTTCCAAGAGGCGCCCAAGACAGGTCCCCAAGCGCCCTCCAAGAGGCCCCCAACAGGCATCCCAAGAGACCTTCGCATGAATCCCAAAAGGCCTCTGACCTGCAACCCAGGCACGGTGACATAATGGACCGACAACCACAATCGAACGACTTCCTGACCGACGATTCCCACAAGCACACGAGCAAGTGACAACACTGATGCAAGATGGCCCAGCGGAATGTGCGAAGCGCCTGGATTTGGTGGGCCCCCAGCGGGCTCTCGCCGTGTTGAGCTTCGAGAGAAGATGATGAGATGGAGGACGACGATGGAGGATGGTGAGAAGCATGCATAAAGGCAAGCCCAGAGGGGCTTTGCGGATTCCGCAGCTTGATTCTCCTGTGACACGTGAAACACACATGTGATCGGCGCTCCCAAAGCCACCAAAGCCTCGATTCAACACACCCCTGACGAATTTCCTGCTCCATCCTCTATTGGGAACCGTGGAAATACAAGTGATCTGCGATCCGAGGGCCACGAAGACAATTCTGGACAATCCTCAAAAATTCTGCCCCCTTTCTACTGGGACACATGATCATACGAATGACCTGCGCTCTCAGGCTCCTTGGACACGTGAGGCACACCAATGAATTGGGCCTCGAGGCGCCTGGGAGACGTACAAACATGAGGAAGTTGCCCTTCCATGTCATTGGAACCCCCATTCGGCACACCTCTCACGCAGTTCGTCAACACTTCGCGCTCAGCTGACCCACGAGACGGCTCGCCCTTGCATCCACGTGGGGCCTCAGTTCGGCACACCCCTCGCGCACGACGTGCCCCATGGACCCAAAAACGCCCTTAGCTCGCCTCCGAGACAGTCTGATCCCCCAAAGGGCGCAAATACTCGAAATCCATTGATCATCGACCCCCCCTAAGAAACCGGACATCCCCTTCAACAGCTACCTAAGTTCCCGGACTCCCCTGTTCACGGGGGGCCTCGGTCTGGTCCGGACCCCTCTCGTCCTCGGTTTCGGGAGAGCGCCCTGCTGAACCAGGCCCCCCCGCTTCCAGAAGAGGCGCCCCCGAAAACCGGACCCGGGGGACGATTATCGAGGGATTCCGAACACCCCCCTGGTGCCGACCCTCCCTGACACCGAGGAGGAGGAGGAGGAGGAGGAGGAGGAGGAGGAGGAGGAGGAGGAGGAGGAGAAGGAGGGGGAGGAGGGGGAGGAGGAGGAGGAGGAGGAGGAGGAGGAGGAGGATGAGGAGGAGGAGAAGGAGGAGGAGGAGGAGGAGAATACCCCCCGACGACGAGATGGCAACGACTGGTGCCGACCTCCCCGACACCCGGCGGCAGCAGCAGCCGTGCGCACGCTCCCCCCGCCCCCTCCCCGCGGGGTGGCCTCCGCCGCGCGGGCCCAAGCGAGCACGGGAGGGCGAGGACGGCGAGGAGGCGGAGGAGGAGGACAGGGACAGGGACAGGGAGGAGGAGGAGGAGGAGGAGGAGGAGGAGGAGGAGGAGGAGGACGAGGAGGAGCAGGACGAGGAGGAGGAGGAGGACGAGGAGGAGGGCGAGGAGGAGGACGAGGACAGGGAGACGACGGGGAAGCAGCGGAGGAGGAGGTCGGGAGGGGGTGAGAGCCCGCAAGGTGGCACGACGCCGAGATCAGCGGGCCGAGATCAGGTCGGGCATGTCTCCCTGCACGCGGATGTTGGAACATGTTTCCAACAAAGAACGACACATGTTCAACAAAGGATCGAACATTGTCAAAAGTAGTAGACAAAACAGTCTCCAGACTATCTTCTCACTGCTCACGAATATTCCTTCTGTAGAAGGAAACGCCAGACTTTCAGGCTGGGGCTCGGGATCAAGATGGGGCCCCCTCCCAGAGGTCTGCCCGCGCCAGGCACTCGCTTGTCGAGGCGCCCGAGGCCCTCCCCTGAAGATGCTCCCGGGGGAGGACAGTTCGGGACTGCCTGCGCTTCGTCAAAACACACAGGCTGCTGGGCCCTGAACTGCTTCGACCCCCCCCTCGCCCCCGGGCGGAGGAGGGGGAGGGGGGAGGAGGGGGACGAGGAGGAGGAAAGGGCGAGGCGAGGTGAAAGAGGAGAAAACCGAGGAGGAGGAACGGCTACGAATAGTTACACCCCCAGGACGGAAATTCTCCTCTCGGGGTTAACATCTGACAACACCTGTGAATCAAATGTGATCCCTCTTCTGGGTGTGTGAAAGTTTGGTGAGTGCGTTGTCTGTTCCGCGGGTCTAATTTCCCGTTTGAGAAATACCAGTTGATCCATATTTGTGCCTGGCGCCACTACTTCGGGGGTACTAAAGTTTTTGACCATAAGATGAGAATTGCCTCGCTGGTCACGCGTGCCGCGGAGGACCGATCAGGATGCAAAGGTGCCTTGATGCGGATTCGCGAGCCTTTTGTGGGCCCTCTGGGACGGCCAACCAGTGAACCGAAAGCGACCGCATTGGAGAAGGATGCCCAGGGTCTCACAGCATCAATGCAACACGGAATACAATGAAACATCGCGTTGGCATGATAAGGACAGGGCCGATGGGGATGATGACACGGACGATCAAACGTGACCCAAGCGGAGTGGTTTACTGTGAATGGGTTCAAGTCGGAGTGTTTTCCGGCCCTATTGTACATGGGACGGAGTAATTATCACCCTGTTTTAAATATATAGTATTATATTCTTACAGGGTGAGAGCCCATCGGAGTCGAACCGCCGCCCGACCCAAAACATGTCGCTAAGATTCTACGGGGGGGCAGGGGGCGTCGACAGCATGACGTCGTATGGTCAAAACTATAGTACCCCCCGTGTATTTATATCATAACCAAACTGGGGATCCGTGGTTACGATGATGTTTGTTGCGCTGTTGTATGTTAGTGTTGCTGTTGTTGTTGGTGTTGCTATTGTTGTTTCTGTTGTTGTTGGTGTTGTTGTTTGTTGGCGTCTGTCCCGCCCGCGTCCCACCCGCGACCCACCCGCGACCCACCCTGCGACCCACCCGCGACACACCCCGCGACCCACCCCGCGACCCACCCGCGACCCACCCGCGACCAAAACCCGCGACCCAACCGCGACCCACCCGCGACCCACCCGCGACCCACCCCGCGACCCACCCGCGACCCGACCCGCGACAAAAACCCGCGACCCACCCGGCGACCCACCCGCGACCCACCCGCCACACACCCCGCGACCCACCCCGCGACCCACCCTGCGACCCACTTGCGACCCACTTGCGACCCACCAGCGACCCACCCCGGGACCCA